AGGATCGAATCAGAGAGCTGGAGGACAAGATAGAAAAAAGCTCCCAAAAAGAGAAAGAAAATGAAAAAAAGACTCAAAAAGAATGAAGAGGCATTTAGGGAAATGCAGGACAACCTGAAATGTAGTAATATCTGTATAATAGGGATACCAGAAGAAGAGGAGGAGCAAGGGATAGAGAATCTGTTTGAAAAAGTAATGATGGAGAACTCCCCTAATTGGAGGAAAGAAAAAGTAACACAAGTCTAGGAAGCACAGAGGGTCCCATTCAAGAGGAACCCAATGAGGCCCACTCTAAGACACATCATCATTAAAATGGCAAACATCAAAGACAGAGAATCCTAAAGCAAGCAAGGGAGAAAGAGGTAGTAACATATAAGGGAGCCCCAGTATGGCTAGCAGCTGACTTCTCAACAGAAACACTGCAAGCTAGAAGAGAGTGGCAAGAAATATTCCAAGTAATGAAAAGCAAAGGCCTGCAACCAAGACTGCTCTACCCCTCAAGGCTCTCAATTAAAAGGGAAGACAAAATAAGGAGTTTCCCAGACAAAAGAAGGCTAAAAGAATACACCTCCACCAAACTAGCACTGCAAAATATACTAAAGGGACTGCTTTAAGATGAAGAAAGAGTTTCTCTGAATACCCAGTTCCTTTCACAATTGCCAATACTTTATATTACCAATATTTTTAAATTCAATTAATCTGATTGTGACAATGATGGGTTATTTTAATTGTTCCTTTATTATTTGTTGAAACGAAACCTGTTTTTGTATATTTCTTGCCTTTTTCTATTATTTTAAAAAAGTTTTAAATGACTTTTTAGTATTCTTTATCCATTTAACGATTAAAGGTTTATAGAATTCATTTCCGTAAAAGAAACTATTAACCCTTTTTTAGATGTGTGGCAAATACTTTCCTGTTCTATTACTTGTCCTTTAACTTGTTTTATATGTATATTACTATATAGTCTTAAGTGTTTAATAAAGTCATATTGTCAATATTTTACTTTATAGCTTCTAGGTTTGAGTATGTTACTTCAGGGTAAGAAAAATATTATTTTGTATTTTCTTCTAAAACTCCTTAGAGTCTACATATTGATTTTTAACTCACCTGAATATTTCTTGTATAATGTGTGAAATAGGGCTCTGTATTTGTTTTATTTCAAGTAATAGTGGTCCATGCACCTTATTTGTTGAATAAGCCTTATTTTACCCAGTGATTTGAAATACAAACTTAAGCATATATTACATTGTTAGACAGATATATGCGGTTGTCTCTAGAATGCTCATTATATTTCATTGATCTACTTGATTATTTCTGTGCTGGTGTCATGTTGGTTTAATTGCTGAGACTTTATAATGGTTTTAAATTTTTTAATATTTTATAATTAATTTTGAGATTTAAAAAGAATAAAGAAAATCAATCTGCAAGGGAGGGAGGGAGAGAGAGATATGAAACTCCTACCTTTTGTGACAACATGGATGAGTTGGAGAATATTAAGGTAAGTGAAATAAACCAGTTGATGAAAGACTAATACCACATGATCTCACCTATAACTGGAATCTATTCAACAAACTAAACTAACGAACAAAATAAACCACAGGCATGGAAACATGGAACAGACTGAAAGTAACCAGAGTGGATGGGGAAAGAGGACAATAGTAGAAAGAAGGGGAAGGGACTAGACAAAGAACATGTATGAATGACCCATGAACATGGACAACAGAGTGGGAATTGACTGTGGGAGCAGGGGTAGGGGTGGGATGGGTGGAGGTGGGGAAAGGGGGAAAAACTGAGACAACTATTATAGAATAAACATGATTTATAAATTTAAAATAATAATAATAAAATATGCTTCCATATTTCCAAACATAAAATATAATCTGAGAGGAGAGTTTGTGTGTTGCTCTTGTATCTGTGAAGGAAGGGCCAGTCTTGGAACTTTGGAACCTGCTATTCACAGGACTTACAGGGCTGTCTCAATCTTCATAAACTTAACATTAGACCAGAAGGAAAGTCTGGAAAGCCATTTGGTGTCCTTAACCAGCTGCATCTCTGCTATGAAGCAAAAGGCATTGTTGCCTGCATGAACAGAGGGTGTTTCAGCCCTGGGATATTTGAGTTGAACAGACTGATTTTCACTGAGCATTTCTCTGATGATTTTTCTAATTACCCCTGAAATTTCTATTTATTGTTTGTATGTGTGTGTTTTAACTCTGGGATCTGAATGGGGGGTGTGTCTCATTCATGTCTTTTAAGTTTACATTTAACATGTTTCTCTTTCTTGCTCCCCTTGCCCACAGGGGATTCCTCTTTGGCTTCTTAAAGTTTGCTGCTTAGAGTGGAAGTTCAGCAGGCAGGTGATCATACTACAAGTTCTTTCTGGACCTCTGACAAAAGGAGTGGTAAGTGAAGGTTGTTGCTACCTTGAGATCTGCAAGGCTGGGTGTTTTGGTACCAATTTCCACAGCCCTCCACTGTTATCAGAATACTTTGCCAGTGCACTAATCTCTTTGGAGATAAAATTCATTAGCATGTTACTAAATGTTAATTTTCTTTTGCAGAAAACACAGAACCATGCCTGAATTATTATATTTAAAATATCCATTCCTTAACACTCCCTCATTTGCTTTGCCCACAGCCTATTTGGTTCATTTGGCAGAATTCTGCAAAATGTGTGTCATCCACTACTGAGATTGCTCAGCCCCTGATGTATTTGTATTAATTTGTTTCTGGTGGTAGCTGGTCCTAATATTTGTGTAGAAAGCAGGTATTTTATGATAAATTGCTGTGTAGTGCATGCTTTATGTAGAATTCAGAAGAAACCCAGATTCAGTGATTAACAATGTCAACAATGCTAGTACTAGCCATTGTTCAAGAACAGTAGTGCTATGTTTAGACTTTTATTGTCTTAAAATTCCATTTTATTGGGGACCCATTTTCCACCTGGTCTTTCATGACAGGTCTTTTTTCCTATGTTAAGCAGTTTCTAAATAAAATTCTATATTTAAAAAAATAAAGAGGGCAGGGAGTGGTGACGATCCTTGGTACATATTCCTAAATTCTAAGCATTTTAAAAACTCATTTTTTATGCTATAAATTATACGGGGCTTTATTTTGATCATCCATCATCAAACCATTGCTAAAATAAGAAATTCTACAGTCTTTTTCTTCACGTGAGGGAATACCATTATGACTTCAATCTGTCTACAAAGATCAACAAGAAGCAACAAAATATAGTGACTGGCAGTTCTAAATGTTCTCACTATGCTTCTAAATCCTGAGCATTTCGTTTTCTTTTAACATCCCCAATCCAAAGAATACCAAAGATTTCACAAACAGAGAGATTCAATGTGGATCTCTGCAGTTTAACAGCCTTAATAACTACAGCTACAACATTTTAAGAGCAAAATTTTGGTGGCAATCAGTTATCGACATTTTTGAAATTCATTGAGGTTTCAGTAACTTTAGCAAAAAACTGACTTATGATTTGGCTTTGAAAAAAACTGTTTTACAATCTTAACATTATTAAGAAAAACTCAGAATTTAAACTAAACCGATTATTTGAAATTCAATTAAAATAAATTTCTCTTGATCAAAATACTGATATATTTAAAATATACCTAATATTGATCCAATTTAATGGGAAGAATATATTGTTCCATTTAATCAATATGTTGAGATTAACACTTTTATTAATTCTCTCCAACAGTTAAGAAAAAGACTGACACTGCTCACTGTTGAAGAGTATTGAGCAACATCCCTCAAAAAATTTCAGATATTAAATATGCAAAATAGTCTTAAAATTGCAATGAGAAATGACAAATTTAAACCACTCTTCAACTGCATATTATTATATTAGTTAAGGTTCTACTACAATGTTAGTGTAACAGCTCTACCCAACTGGATTTAGGTCACAGAACCTAAAATTATTTGTGAAAAGAACTATATTGCATCCCCTTTTAAAAGCTTAGGGAATATATGCAGCAGTCTGGATATGGGTCATCAGTAGTTTTAAGTAACAGAAAAAAAGATACCAGGTCAGTAGAAAGCTTCAAAAAATACAATAAACTAGATCTCTCTACATTGAGAAACAAGAAAAACTTGTTCATGACTGGGAAAAAAGCTACCCTGGGAGCAAATATTTTAAAAGCATTCTGTTAACTGGATTCTTCTATTTTGTGAGTTTCTTGATGCTCTTAGTAAGCCACTTTGTGAGACCGCTGAGACTGGAGAGGTGGCAGTGCTGGGCTCAGAGAGACAGGGGAGAAACCTGCAGCATACTGTTATTGGCTCACAAAAAATGTGTGGCAACATGCAATACTGGCTTTAGAAGGAATGCATTCACCTTCCCTTTCATCTTGTATCTTATTTGCATCATACACTACAAAGTCACGGAAATAAAAGCCAGAGTATGTCTCTAACATAAAAAAATGACAGTGAACAGGAAAGACATGCTGTGCACATGAAGTACATTTCTGGCATGACAGCGGTTTATAATCCTATAGGTAACTACTTTTTTAAGATAAGGAGGGAGGATTTAAGAAACCAAGCTTATTCTTTCACATGCTAAAGCTTGCATTTCAACTCTTATTTGAAGTAAAATTCTCTAAAATTTAGTGCTTCAAAAGAAAAAAAAACACCATCTAGCAAACACTGCATAAGTCAACCTTTTCCTCCTCCTGACTGTCTCAGGGCAACCCCTTATACAGCTCATACGTCAGACCTCCACATTACCTCTTGTCCAAGCCCTTCCCCCTAGGCTTTTCTTGTAGACTTGCCCCCAAATCTGAGTGAAGACATAGAAATAGAAGTATTTTGAAGTGTTCTATCAACACTTCAGGGCTCTGATGGTTCTAAAGGGCTAAGGCTACAGAAGTCAAACCTTTGAATAAACAAGTGTGTAACATAAGCTAGATCTAAAGCTCTTACTTATTAATAAACCTGCTGCCTAAGATAAATCAAGTAGTACAATCTGTTTATAATAATCTATGCAGACTGACCTTAACCGTTGTTTATAATAATTTTCATCTCCATCGTCTCGGCATCTCACCACTTTCCGACCTCCTCCTCCTTTAGCGGCTTCAGATTCTCCCCAAAAACTTGGAAAAAAGTCATCATCAGTCTCCCGCACTGAGACTTTTTTCTGCCATTTCTGGTGCTTAAGCACAGGCCCCTGTTCAGAGTCAGTGCCTTCTGCAGACAGGTCAACCCCTGCAGCTTCCTCCTGCTCAGTGGGTAAGTACTCAGACTCTTCACCCTCAGAGTCTCCTTCTTCCTTTGGCCTCATATCAGATTCCAAGTGTCTCTTTCCCTTCAGCAACCCAACTTTCCCCTGGAACTGAAGAGCCCTCTTCTGGAGTTTCCTTATATGTTTTTGCAAGCGCTTGTCAGTTTTCAAGGGAACATTGCTTCTCTTGTTTGGTTTGTTTTCACTGACCATTGGGCTCAGCTCAGAAGTGACCATGGCTGGAGTTTTTCTAGCTGCCCTTTTATTACAAGCTTGCTTCTTCCTTTCAAAAGACAGTTTTGCTTGATCTGCCAAATACTTTTCAAAGCCTGATGCTTCATTGAGCATTAGTTTCCTAGGCTTTTTCTCCTGTCTCTGAGGAATCTGGGTACCAAAAGGTGTCATCTGGCCAGTGCGGATGAGTTCTTCCCAAGCAATCTCCTGAGCAGGCATGAGCATGCTGCCAAGACAGGAAGGCCCCGCTTCTGAAAGAGGGATGACAATACATTGGGCACTAGCATAACATTTCCAGGAGTAGAAGGAATATATTCACTAATTCAAGAAATAGTATGTAACCACAAATAACTCATTTTTAAAAATATATCATTAATGTACTGAAACATATTACCTATGTACAATAGAGTAAAATTTATTATAGCATTCATCATGCCGCCTTCAATAAACTCCTGTTCAAAAAGGTGATCTTTCAATAACTTTTTCCAGAACATGGCATCATAAGTATATTCTCATGCATCCAAAGACAGAACTAGTCATTTGTGACATAAAGATAGATACAGTTAGCTATGTTTCCTTATCAATTAAAGAGTAACCTGGGAGGAAGCAATCTCCCAAGTTGCTATGTCACTGCTAAACCAGCATTCAGGTAGACTTAAATTCAAGACACAGTATAACTGAAAACAGATGCCTGAAGAATCAGCATGCACCTAAATAGGTGAAACATAAAATGTTTGATCTGCACTGCCAATATAATAGTCACTGTGTGGCTATTTAAGTTTGAAATTCAGTTCCTCAGTTACACCTGCCATATTTCAAGTACTCAATAGCCACATGTGGCTGGACAACACAGACAGAACATTTCTATCATTGCGAAGAAGTCTACTGGACAGCACTGTGTTAAGACATACGAAGTTCACTGACTGAAGGGATGGACTAAAATTTTAAGTTATGCCATAACAATTGTAAAGTAACCTAGAAATCATCCTTCTTTAGTTGAAATTAATACTCTCCAGCAAGATCACTTTACCCATCCCAAAATAACAAAAGAAGTAAAGCTTAACAGGAAGAAATCCATACTCTAAATTCTATGTTTCTTGTAGGCCAATAAGACCACAGCCAGTTTCTCATTAAACTTGCACTAAAAAGAAAAAAAAAACACAAAGTGCACAAATCCTAAATGCACAGCTCACTGAATTTTCAGAAAAAAACACACATAAACAAGCATCCTGAGCAAGAAACAGACATTGCTAATACCCCAGATGTGCCCTTCTTGGCACCTCCAAACCTCTACCCCACCTCAAGGTAATGAACTGACTATCAATAGTAAAAACAAGTTGTACCTGACTTTGAACTTTATGTAAATGGAAATGTTCATACTCTGTGTCTGGCTTCTTTTACTAAATATTACACTTGTAAGATTCTCACTTGTTGAATATAGTTGTAGTCTGTTGATTCTCATTGCTGTTAGAATTCAATTATATAACCATACTACAATCTTTCCACTTTATAAATAATGGACAGTTGGGTGATTTCCAGGTTTTGGCTACTAGGAATAAATGCTGCTACAAATATTCTGGTACACATCCTTTGGTGATATGTTTATAATTCTTTGGTTATGTTAAGCTTTAGTAGACACTATCAAACAGTTTTCAAAAATAGGCCTACCAATTTTAACTTCCACCAATAGTGTTTGAGAATTTCAACTGGTCCTTGTTCTTGCCATTCCATTTTAGCTATTCTGTTAGGCATGTAGTAGTATCACTTTAACATGTGATTTTTATTTCCCTGATGACTAATGAACTATGGTACCTTTTCAGAGAATTATTGATTTTTTGGATAGCCTCTTTTGAAGAAAATGTTCAGGTCTTTTGCCCATTTTTTCTTATAGGTGGTCTGCCTTTAAGAAAAAAGACTTCTAGTTCTTTATACATTCTGGATTCAAGTTCCAGACTGATACATGTATTGGCAATATCTTCTCCTACTCTGCCACTTTTCAGGCTCTGAATGAAATCTTGCCCCTAAATCTGAGTGAAGACCCAGAAATAGAAGCATCTTTTTCACATACAGAAATTCTTAGTTGTAATACAATTAATTTACCAGAACTTCTCTTTTACAGTGCCTTTTTCTGTCTCATAAAGTCTTTGCCCCAAGATCATGAAAACGTTTTCCTATGCTATACTCTACATTTCCAACCACACATCCTCTTCCCCCTAGAAATTTACATTGAGGCAGCACTGAAACTATACATGGATAAAACTGACATCATTACAATACCACATCTTCTGATCCATTACCATGATGTGTCTCCCCATTTATTTATTACCAATAGAAATATTGTACCTCAAGAGCAGAAGGCATGAGCTTAAAAAGCATATCTAGTATTTCCTCTACTGCCCCAATTAATGCTTCATTATTATCTTGTCTCAATGAATAAATTTCAGGAGCTAGTATAAAATATTTGCTTAAAGAGCTTAATGCTAAGAAGCCTTCCCCTTTATTTTGAGTGGTAAATGAATGAACAGTTACCAATAATTTCTAGACACATGCATCTATACACTGACTATAGAGATATTTTGTTTCAGTACTTAGGCATTTACTCAAAAGGTTTTCCATCAGATGGCTATCCAGCAGTGTTATAAACAAAATCATGGCCACTGTATAACTGGAATGAAGATGTCTTTTCTTAAACAACAGTACTCATGTTAGTAAAACCTGTCAAATATGTCTCAAAAAGACATGTGAAAGCAATTCTATAAATCCAGATTGAATTACAAAATGTAATTCAATCAAGATGTTAGTTGCTTTGTGAAATTAAGAATACAAAAATTTAAAGATTTCTAATTTCTTAAACATAATACTATATTTGCAGCAGCAGCCAATAAGACTGAGTTAAGAGGACTGGCAAGATGGGGGGGTAAATGAATGGAAGTCACACTGACCTCCTCCCAGGACCAATCTGAATTAAAACTAAATTGTGGAGAAATCACCTGGAACAAAAAAACTGAACAGCAAGACAGGATCTTTAAAACCTTGGACAGACAGAAGAATCAGCTTTAGCACAACCTGACTGGTAAGGAGTGCAGTAGAGACTCGAGGAGGCTGGCTAGGCACCCATGGGCAGCAGCACAAGAGGGATATTGAAACAGCCAGTTAGATCCCACTGAGGAGAGCAGGGGCTAAACCATAAGTGAAGATCTCCAGCCTACAGCACCAGCGCTCAAAAAGTACACATATAACAGCCAGCTGCAAAAAGTGGCAGGCTTGTTCTCTGCCAGAGACGGGTGACAGGAGACGTAGAGAGCTGTTTAAAGGGCCGACGCATGAATTTTTATTTGCAGCTGCTTACCCTGGGCTACCGCAATGGTGGGGGCAAGGTGAGCTAGAGACACCTGAGGAGAGACTGGGGAAGGAGGCTTTGGAGAAAGAACTGAGGGAAGAGCCATCAGCATCCCAGTGCTGAGAAATCCCACACACAACAACAACCATCATGTTCAGGCAGACCACTCACCTGAGCGGCAGCAGCCTGAGAGGAAACAATAACCCTGGAGGGAGGGACTCTGCCCAGCCCTGTGGTGCCTGAGCCTCACTGCTGAATGCAGAGTGACTAGATTAACAACTGAAGAAGACAGCCACAGATAGCAGATTTATGGAGGACTCCAACAGACTGCCTAAGGTCAGATGGGGTCAACAGCTGACATCATCAGGAACAGATCTAGAAAGGAAAAACAGCGGTCTACCATAGAAGTTCATACCACAAAGTCATGAATCAAGACGGATCAACTTAAGACACAGAAGCAAAAAAAAGAAGAGTCTCACAAATAATGGGAAGACAAAGAAACACCTCCCACTCAAAGGGAAAGGAGGAATCTAGAGAAAGAGAACTGAATGAAATAGAGGCAAGTATACTACCAGATACCAAGTTCCAAACAAAAGTTCTAAGGAAGCTCAATGAGCTGAGTGAGCTCAGAGAGAATTACAAAAAACTACAGAGAAACTATGAGGAACTTACTGCAAACTATATCACCATGAAAAAAGACATAGAAACCATCAATAAGAGGCAAGAGGAAATGGAAAACATAATTTCTGAATTGAAGAACACAGTAGAAGGAATCAAAAGCAGGCTAGATGAAGCATAGAATCAAATCAGTGAGCAGGAGGACAAGGAAGGAAAAAGCTCCCAGAAAGAATAAGAAAATGAGAAAAGACTCAAAAAGAATAGAGAGGCATTTAGGGAAATGCAGGACAACCTGAAAGGTAATGATATCTATATAATAGGGATGCCAGAATAAGAAGAAGAGGAGCAAGGGATAGAGAACCTATCTGAAAAATTAATGATGGAAAACTTCCCTAATTGGAGGAAAGGAAAAGTCACATAAGTCCAGGAAGCACAGAGGGTCTCACTGAAGAGGAACCCAATGAGGCCCACTCCAAGACACATCATAATTAAAATGGCAAACATCAAAGACAGAGAGAATCCTAAAGGCAGGAAGGGAAAAACAAAAAGTAATATACAAGGGAGCTCCAATAAGGCTAGCAGTTGAATTCTCAACAGAAACACTACAAGCCAGAAGGGAAGGGCAAGAAATATTTCAAGTAATGGAAAGCAAAGGCCTGCAACCAAGACTACTCTACCCAGCAAGGTTCTCAATAAAAATGCATGGAGTCTCCCAGACAAAAGAAGGCTAAAAGGATGCACCTCCACCAAACCAGCACTATAAGATATGCTCAAGGGATGCTTTAACAAGATGAAGAAAAAGAGTGAGAAAGACAAGAACACAGGTACAAAGGGAAAAAAATGAATGAGTACTTAGCAGTAATAACTTTCAATGTAAATGGATTTAATGCTCCAATCGAAAGACACAGGGTAGCTGAATGGATAAGAAAACATGACCCGTACATAGGCTGCCTCCAAGAGACCCACTTCAAAACAAAGGACCTACACAGACTGAAAGTAAAGGGATGGAAAAAAGTATTCCAAGCAAATGGACAGGGAAAAAAAGCTGGGGTAGCAATACTTATAGCAAATGAAATAGATTTCAAAACAAAGGCCATAAAGAGACCCAGAAGGACCATTCATAGTACTCAAAGGAAGAATCCATCTAGAAGACATATACATTATAAACCGATATGCACCCATCATAGAAGCACCAAAATATTTAAGGAAAATCTTAGAGGACTTCAAGAAAGATACAGACAGTAACATACTGATAGTAGGGGATTTTAATACCCACTGTCAACAATGGATAGATCTTCCAAACAAAACATCAACAAGGATATTGTGGAACTGAATGACTCATTAGATCAAATGAACTTAACAGACACATACAGAACCTTTCATGCCAAAAAAGCAAAATACACATTCTTTTCAAATGCACATGGAACACTTTTAAAGATAGACCACATGACAGGACACAAAAAAAGCCTCAACAAATTCAGGAAAACTGAAATCATCATAAGCATCATTAGATAAAAAGGGAACTGCCTTTTGATGCAGCAATTCCAATGCTGGGATTATATCCTAAGAATCACAAAACACCAGTTCAAAAGAACCTATCCACCCCAATGTTCATAGCAACACAATTTACAATAGCCAAGTGCTCAAGGCAACCTAAGTGCCCATCAGTAAATGAGTGGATCAAATAACTACGGTACATTTACACAATGGAATACTACACAGCAGAGAGAAAGAACGGGCTACTACCCTTCACAACAGCATGGATGGAATTGGAGAGCATTATGTTAAGTGAAATAAGCCAGGGGATGAAAGACAAATACCATATGATCTCACCTATAAGTGGAACCTAATCAACAAAACAAACAAGCAAGGAAAATATAACCAGCAACATTGGAAAAAAAAAAAAATCCGACAGTAACAAGAGGGAAGGAGGGAGCAGGCTAACAGGGAAAAGAAGGGGAGGGGTCAAATCAAGGAACGTGTATAAAGGACCCACAGAGAAAGCCAAAGTGGGGAAGGATTGAGGGAGAGAGGTGGGGGGGGGGGGCCAGGGGAAAGTGGTGGCAGGAAAATGGAGACAACTGTATTTGAACAATAAAAAATAAAAAGACATTAGACTGAGTTAAAATTTTACTTTCACTCTCTAATTTTAAAGAGATTTGTTTCTGCAAGTGTAGAGAATAAATTTTTCCTAAATCTGTTTTGACATTAAGGCAAAGAAATATCAAAACCTAGGCCAGGACTAACTATAGGCATCAGTCATCAATTCAAGGACACAGAGATACCATTCCCAGTATCCTCACCTGCGTCCTCCTCCAGACTGGCATGATCTATTTCAACGTTTACTTCCACTCCTCTAAGGATGGCCTGGAGACGTTTTTGTTTTGCTGTGATCTTCTTTAGCTGTTGTTCCTTTAATGGTAAATATTGAAGATAGAAAACAGTAATGCAGTGATTTATTGTTAAATACAAAAAAGCATTACAAAATTTAAAAACTTTAATCAAGAGCAAAATAAAAATAAAACAAGAATTCCATACATTACTATTACTACAGAGAATCTTATTTCAGCAACTGCCATTTTCCTAGCAGGAAGTAGGCCTCAAAGCATTTCTATCCGGCAGTCATCCCTGTCTCTACCCGCTTTCCTGATGAGGCTTTCTACGTGCTGAGCAGTGATGTTTACATGTTCCGACTCTCCTTGATTTGGGAGATGGAACTGCTCTACTTGGTTCCTCCATTACGACTGGATAAATCACCACACTTCTTTTTGTTCTGGACCTTACTAGCCAATAGGTTATGAAGTCAAAAGGCTATAGAGATAAGAAACATAGAAATGAATGTTTCAAAGTTGAAAGTCAGTTTCCTTTGATAACCTACCATATTTATGACTGTCCTATATAGTACTCTACCCAATCACAAAATTTTAACAGGAACATATTTTTATATACCCTTTTACCCCACTCACCCCAGACTCCTCTTTGTCTTGTCACCCTCTACATCACCAAAGCTCAGAGAGGGACATTCCTAGGGCCTCCCCAATTAGCTAGACCTGTGGTACCTGGTTCTTCCCAAGGTCAAGAATATTTAAATGCCAAATACAAGGGTGGGGCAAAGGGAAATTCTCAATATAAAGGCCATGTTAGAATGATTTGTAATTTGTTTTCACTTGCAGTTTTTCTCAGTACAATCTAATTTAAAACAGCCTTTCTTTCTGAATAGTCTATGTCAAAATACAAAAAAGCTGCTAGAGAAAGACAGGGATATATAACTAAGTTGGACTATTACCTAAAGCAGCCTAAAGTATTTTTATAAACTGCATATAAATTCTAAAATGTGTTTCGAATCTTGTAAAAACAATTTTATAAGCAACAGATTATTCCATACCCTTAAGTTTTACAACTCTACATGCAAACCCAGTGTAATATCTAAGGCCAGCCTCTCAGAACAGTGAGCCTGAGAGTATGAGGATGACTGTATCAACAGGAAATAAAGTATAAACAATCAGTCCAAGCAGGAGCTAAGCAGGGGAAAAAAGAAAGTTCACACAAGACAAGGAGACTGACCAGAGGCCAGCATACAGAACAGAAGCCTGAGCTGGGTAAAAGAACGGTGGAGCCAAGACAACTATGAAAGTACAAATGAGTGAGGAGGGATGCAAAGCAAAAACAGAACTTTCGCTAAAATATGTATGTATGTATGTATGTATGTATGTATATGTGTGAGTATGTCGGTGTGTGTTTTTAAAAACACTCTTTAACTTCTGAGATCAGACGAGATAGGGCACGTTCAGGGTGGTATGGCCACAGACTAAAAATACTCTTTTAACAGAGGATATTAAAGGAAACAGCTGAAAAATTAAACATACAAAAAAATAAACCTCAAAATTTTCTATTATATTTGCTTCACATCTTATACTTTTCAGAATACTTCCTAAATATTAAATGAGTCTAAATGATGACTTTTCCATGTATTTGAAATCACCTTATTATACTTTTGCCGTTTTACAGAATCTAGTTTCCTGTTGATGTCTCTGTTGGTGGCAGCTTGAGGGCTAAGTTGTTCAATAATTTTATTGATTTGCCTTAGGGATGTCGTACATGACCTGAAAAATAAGATAAAATGTGTATTTTCCACCCTGGTACCATTTTTAATAATAGAACATAAAGAGAGAAATACTAAAAACATGTCCCTTTTACTTCTTATTAACGGACATAAAAGAAACATTTAAACTAGAATGCATATACTAGTTGGCCACAAATAGAACCTGAAGGTTGTTAGAAGTTTAAGATGACTATTAGTGTTTTATCTGACTTATTTAAATCAGCCCATCTCGCTTTGTAATCAGATTAGTTTATTCTACAAGCATTTTAAGTATCTATATTATTCCAGAGACTATGCTAAAAATAATGTGCAGTAAGTTGTCTTTTAATATGAAAAAATACACACATGGTTTTTTTTAAGATATTTTTTATAGCAGTCTTAGGTTCACAGCAAAATTGAGAGGAAAGTATAGAGATTTCCCATATACCCACTGCCTCAAGTATGCACAGCCTCCCCCCATTATTAACAACACATACATGGGCTTTAGAAGCCCATTAGGAAATCTTCCAAAGGTTGGAAAAGTACTAAAACTGCTTAAACATTTCTTTTATAAGTCAGATATCTATGGCAGTATTTTTCTTTCACATGACTAGAAGACATATTTGCTGTAGTATTACCCTGTGTAGGGCAAAGGGGAAAAAATTAATTTATAATACATTGCTCCTAAAATAGACACCATAGAATTAAGCTCCCAATTTTCAAAACACAAATTCAGTCTTGACACTTGTGTAATTTGCTGCTGTATCCTTTATGGATTTCAGCATAAAAAGATGTTATCAAAGCAAGTTACTGGTAGACTAAACACCACATACCACCATCCACCTAGTGTTTACCCGCCTTTTGACTCTGCAGTACTCTTGTCATCTCAGTAAGCAGTGGACATGTTTCTAAGGTCAAATGTAAAAGGTGTGTTCATTACAAAGAGTCAAGGTCTTCACACCTGAAGGTCAGACCACAACTGTTTGAGAACATTCCAGAAATCGTAACAGAAAGCATGTCCTTTACGTGCCAATAGCCACCTATACTACATCCTTCCCCAGTGGGAAGCCAAGGGCTCCATGTTCCTCCTCCTTCTCTCTCCCTTCCCCCAATTTAAAACTTCACCCCCATTTAAAACTTCACCATCCCTCCACTCAGTCCTCCCCTTCTCTTTCTTGCTTGCCTGATACTGCCTAGAACATGGCCAAGGTAGGGACAATTGGCAATGGAGAGTGAACCTAATCCTTCAAACCCTCCTTTTAGCACAGGTCCAGAGCCTGTCCCATCTCTATCAATGTCCGATGATCAACAGAGCCCAAGTATATGTTTCCTTTAAAACACAAATGAGATCTCCATGAGACTTTATCTTCCCTCAAAGTCAAAAGTAGGAGAGAAGAAAGAAAAAGCAGAAAGATGTTTCTCATTTCTAGAAATGCAAAATCTGAAAAATTACCAAAGATTGTCACTTGGTTTAGAGACAGGAAACTGGAAAGAAACTACAGGACAGCGAAAAAAAGTGAGGGGGTAGGTATGTTCCTGATATCTAGAGTAGGATACATCAGAACTGCAGGCACACTTCTCCTGAGCATTTTGTGCATATGCTTCTCACAAGCATTTTGTGCATATGCTTGTGAGTTCTGGGTCATTTACTTCTCCCCCAAAATTATGCATTAACAGGCTGTTGTAAGCTGGACTAAAACCCTAACTACCATGTACAATGCTGCTCCAGAGGGAAAGGGCTGATATTCAAACACAAGGTCGATGATAGCCCTTATTGTCTCTGTCCTCCAAATAAGAAGTTCTATAAATCTCCTAATATTTCTGGAATACTACAGTTATTACCTGAATTTCTCCATCATATGTAAACACAACTCTACAATTAGAGAGATGGTCCACACTCACGTGAGGTCATCCAGAACTGACTGATACTCCCTCTCTGCATCAGCAAGCTGAGCAGCACGGCTGGCCTCATGGATGGCACTGTCTACCTGCTGAAGCACACCTTGCTCCAGCACGTCCTGATCATAGACATCCACACCCAACCCCTGCAGTTCAAGGGCCTGCGCACTCTGCTCCACCGCCTGGATCTGATGTCTGTCGATGTGCAGCAAGGCAGGCCTTCTCCTTGGAACTTCTGATGGACACCCCTCAGCAGAAGTGGATGGTTCAGGTGCAGAGGAACAAGAAGGGAGGCTGTCTTCCATCTCTGCATCACCATCATTTTCTTGCTTGATTGTCATTTCTTCATTATCACTGATATACTGACTCTGTAAACAGTCTTGCTTCTGAGTTTGACTTGAGTGGGGGATTTTCTCATTTGACATCCTCTACAGACTATCTAAAAGGAAAATATTTTTTCAATAAGCCTTTTGTTTATAAAGAAGTGATAGTTACATAGTTTCTTAAATCTTTTATGAAGCAGACTGATTTCTCAAAATATCAAGTAATAATTCCTCCAATCACACAGATTCAAGTTTCAAAGTATTATTTTTCTTAAAAGCTATATGTCTTCTTGAGTTCTGATAATAAATAAGAAAAACTGAGCAAAAGAAAAACCCAGAAGAAGAAAAAATGCAGTATCATTGACAGAGGACATTTGGGCAGCCAAAATCCTGAGTGATACCTAGAGTCTTCTCCAAACCAACTGAAAAAGCTGGCAACCAAAATCCTGAATGACACCTAGAGTCTTCTCCAAATCAACTGAAGTCATCTGACTAATATTCTCCAAGTTAGCATCTCCATTGCATTATGGCAAAAATGATCTGCATTATAGTATATGATCAACTTAATATATAGATTTAGTTTTATTTATATATACATATATATATGTGAGAGCTTCTACATGAATCTGACACTAGAAACTTTGAGCTTGAACATGTCCTCCAATAAATAGAAACTCTGAACAAGAGATAAACATTGCACCGCTCAAATCAGAATCTCAGAAAAATTAAAATATCCTCAAAAAATAGCTCCATTTCAATGTGTGATATAATTTCTCACCCATCAGGTTGGCAAAAACATAAAGCTGGATACTATCCAGTATAAACAAAAATGATACACCCTCACACAATGCTGGTGAAAATAGTAAAGCTCCTTTAGAAGGCAATTTAGCAATATCTATTAAGGTTTGAAATGCACACAACGAGGTGTTTATTCCAGAGAAATATATATGTACAAGCATATTTATTGTAGCATGTTTTAATAATTTAATGTAGTTATTAAGCATATTCAGTAGTTCTAAGTCTTGTAAACTGAAAAAAGCCATATAGTATAAACACAATTATGTTGAAAAAAATGTTTATCTGCATCTGTATGTATGGAAGGCATTCAAAGTGATCTGGAGATACACACTACACCTACAATAGTTGGGACTGGAAAGTAGACAGGGCAGGGAAGAATAGAGAGAAGCTTTCACATTTCCAAGTAGTCAGGAACTCCTTGAATGAAAATGTATTTTCTATATTGTCTGTATAATTATAATAAATAGGTTATTAAGCAACACAATAACCAAGATATAGCCCTGCTTTTCATTTAATTGTGAATAAACTAAGGTTTCCTTCAGCACTAAAACTTTGTTTCTATGAAATGACCACAAGTTCCCCCAATTCCCACTCATTCCTCCTTAAACAAAAAGATCCCAGAAGCCATGCACTGGGATACAGAGATGCCAGAATTTAGCATCATCCTGCCCTGAGCAGCTCACTCTCTAGTGAAGTGTCAAAAACAACACAGTGGGACAAATCTGTAGAAGAGACATGGACAACAGGCCATGTGAAAACACAGGAAGGGATGGCATTGGGTGTGGAGTTCAAAAACATGTACAAGCTAGATTTGGACAACTGGCCCAGGGTCTGATACTCAGGAGGTGCGCAATATATGCTGAAAGAAAGTCAGGTTCAGAGAGGGGTCTGAAATAACAAGTCTGGTCTGGACAACTGAGTCACTGGTGAATTCAGTTACAAAAATAAAATCTCTGAAAGAAAGGAGACAGCCCAAGAGATGAGCTGCTGGGAGTTTACAAACTGCCAGCAACATGTCCAGGATTCAGTCAGAAGTACAAATCTGGGCTCAGGAGAAAGAGATGTGGACACATCACCACAGTGAACAGCCAGGGACCCCAAAGATATGACAGGTACCGGAGATCCTTTCAGAGGGTAAGAGGAAGCTAACACTGAAATAGTTAAAAGTGAACAAGAGAATAAGAAAGTTCCTCCTTTTTTGGTCCTTCTGAATGTTTTCAGGAGAAAGAATTAGTTTAGTGCACCATCATTAACTAGTCTCCCCTTTCAACAGGGAAGGCAGGATTCTGCCTCAGATTCTTAATGCTAGCTAGAACTTAACAATTGTTTTCATTTTTTTATTTTTCTCATTTGTATGTATGTAAGGATTTCTTTTTCAGTTAAAAAGACATTAATTCATCCAAATATACTAAGCAATAATATTGTAAAATAAAGAGGAGGTTAAAATAATGATGTTTGCAGAAAACTTCTAACAGACAAGGAAGAGGGAAGAGTTAAAAGTGGAAAATAATATGCCAAGTTCACATAGAGGAAACTGAGAGTCCAACGGATTTGGAATTAGCAGTTCGCTAGTTATCTTAGTACAAAAAAGTTTCACTGGAGTAACAGGAACAAAAACCAACTATAGTGAGTTAAGAAATGAGAAGGTGAGGAAACAGAGGCTACAAGTGGGTAGCCTACCTTCTAAGGATCTTGCCTATGGAAGGGAGACATCTGGAATAATAAAATAATAATGGGATGGGAGAGGAAAATTAAGTCAAGAAAAACTATAAAATAGCTGGAGAGGGAGTAGGGAGATAACCTACATAGAATGTTGTACAAAAGTCAGAAACAGGAAAAGATAAAGTATAGAAGTAAACAAAAGACAACACATCGTTCTCCAATTCTAGCAGGATGATTTCTGATGTACTTAAACTGTACTACAGAGGAGAGAAGTTGAGGTGGACCTTAAAGAAAATATCTTATCAGAAAGAAGTCCTGGTATCTCATGAATCAGGGGACAAACTTGGGATGGGGGATGGAGAAGAATTAAGAATCTGGAATAAACGTCCGGTAGAAAGAGAAAAGCTGATTGGGAATACACAATGGTGACAGATACTGACGGCTTATGAAAAGTTGGACACCCAAAACTATAGATTGCTAACTACTGCTAACAATCCTCAAGGCTGTAAAATCTCCTTCTTCAGTAACTAACAATTCCAAGGGAAATATCACTGTTGGGGGTTTTCAGAGCAGAAGTAGCGAAAGATCAAACGGCGTGGGGTAAAGATGTCAAGGAGGAAAATAGTTCAAGTTACTGATCTTGGGGTCCAAAATGGGTAGGTTAAAAACAAAGAAACAAACAAAAAACAGAAGGGACTAGAGGAGGGAGGGAGGGCAGGCAAAGAAAGCAAGGAGACAGGGAGGGTGGAAGACTGGAAGAATGAAAGGAAGACATCAAAAGCTACTTAGAAAGAGTCTGTGGACCAAAGAACACAACTCCTGGAGTGAGAGTTGAAAACCAGAAGATTCTCATTAGAAAGTTAAGAGATTCAGAGGTGAAATAAATCATCCATTCATTCAATAAATATTTATTGACAGTCAATTATACCAGGCAATGTGTTAACTAGTTTCAGTCCACATAGGGCTGAAAGTCTCTAGAAGACACATATTTTAAGAATTATATATAAAAAATATACAGAAGTCAGCAAAAGTAAGTTTACAGTTGTGTGTATGGAAAAATATATAATACAAGAATAAACTGTTTCATGCACTCACAACTATAAGCCTACTTTTGCCTCATCCTGTATACCCACGTCATTGTGGTAACTGCTATAAAAGGAAAGTACAGGATTCTTTATAACAAAATAACAGAGAAACCTATTTAACACTGTAGAGTTGGGAGTGAGGTCAGGGAAGCCTCTCTGATGAAGTGATATATGCAACAGTTTGCAAAGAAACAATATGTGCAATTTGTAAGGCTGGTAAGAGCTGGTGCATTTGGGAAAATGGAAGAAGTGAGCAGAGGGAGAATTTATTTTACATAAATACCAAATTAAAGAACTTGATAAGGACTCCATTCATCATGAAAATCTTCTAATGTTCTGCAAGGCTTAAATCATCTAGAAAAACACAATCTTCATTGTCCTCCCCTTAGAGCACTCGAGTTTCTGTGTAACGGCTTGGATTCTGGTTTGGAGGCTTGGCTGCACACACACAAAGCTGAGGGGCCACATGTAAGTGAAAACAAGGGGCAGGTATGGACAGGCCCGGGGGTCTGGGTTAAAAGTGAGCTTGAATTATACTACAAGTGCAATGGTATATGACTTTGGAAAGTTTTAAAGACGGCGATGATAGAACGACACAAATGATGTTTGGGGGCTGCTGTATCGATAATGGATTAGAGGAAACAGGGCAACAAGATGATGACGAGAAACATACGTGTGAAAAGGGGCAGCAGCATGGTAAAGAGTGACAGCAGTGAAGACAGATGCTACGTGGGAAATCACTGTTAGAGCACTTACAAGCAGACTGCTCAAGTCTCCTTCACAACATTGACTGACTACGTCAATGCCAAAAGCCTAACTTGTAGTTAGCCCGATTTTGTTTTTCAAGTAACCACTCTAGTATTCCATCGAAATCAAACTGGGCCGAGCTGACCTTATGCGCGGGGTCCTGACACAAAGCCAAGAAGTTAATGCCTCTTCGTTGGCCCACCCACCCGGGGCTGGGCCCGAATTTGCGGCCCCACCGCCAGGGCGAACGCGCGCCTCGTCGTCACTTCCGACCGCCGGTGAATTGGCAGGGAAGGCGCGCGCCCGGCCTAAGAGCTGGCTCCCGGCGCGGCCGGGTTCCTTGACAGAGGCCAAAGGCCAGGGGCTGCCCGGGGAAAACGAGCGAGGCCCAGACACTACCCGCCCCACGTTCCACCCGGCCCGCCAACACTCACCCCTGGGCCAAGAGTCAGACTGTCGGGAAACGTAAGGGCTCCGGCTGCCGAGGGCTTCGACTGGGAGCGACCACAGCGCAGGCGTATTGGGCCCGCCCCCAAGAGCGAGCCAAATGGCTTGCGGGGGTGGGGCCAACAGTGCCAGCGCCCAGCCTTGAAGTTGATGAGGTGGGCTGGCGAGACGACCGGATTGGAGGGCAGGGTGCAGCTCCGCCTTTCTACCTTTGACCCGGATGTGAGTGAGGACTCTGATTCTGATCAGGTGCGTACCTTGTTATAGGTACGTCACTTCTGGCGAAACAGATCTCTAGTAAGGCGGTTACAGGCATTAAAAGACACGTTGCCGGGGAGAGAGGTACTTGAGTAGACTGTGCGAATGTAAATGCTTACAACAGTGAATCCCAAAGAGAAAGTAAGCTTGGGGAAGGGAACTGGCTTGAGTGCCAGCCATTTCGGTAGTCAGGCGCAAGTGCTGTGATCTCCCTCGGTCACCTGGTACACTGAGCTTGTGAAAAACAGTCGGAGAGCTTACTTATCTGTGTCCAGTCTCGCCGTCTCACACGCACACGCATACCCCCTCATCGTTAGAGGGAGCATTGTGTACTCATAGTGAGCCTAAATGAATGTTTTGGTTGCATTAGTGAATCAATCATTTAATATCAGCTCTCATATCAAAGAGGTAAGAAGGATTTTGAGCCAGGTAAGAATTTTAGCTTGGAGCATTTGAAGGAACAAAATGTCCACACATAGATTCAAAAGAAACGGAGAAAATTGAGATTCCCCTGAAGAAGGAGTAGTCTTGGTTGTGGGAGCCGTACGCAAGTGGCAGCGGCTGGCCCAGAGATTCCAGCTTTAAAAGAAGGTGGACTTTTCAGCAGCCAGAACCAGAAAGTCCTTTGGGAATGAAAGGAGACTATGGAGAAGACCTCGAGTATGAGCAGGAAAGTGCCTTACTCATTTTGAAGACTGAAGTCTTACAGTAGGAAAGGGGACAGGGACGAGAACCTGAAAATGCTAGTATCACCGTATGTCCTATTATAAGTGCTGATGTACATATGCGTCCTCATCCCACATAAAAATGTAACTTGTTTTTTAAGAGGAAGTAGAGAAGTCTATTTTTCTCTTGAATGAAATACTGAGAATAGAAAGGTATTTGATAAGATAGTAGTTTCCGTGCTTGAATCTGAAAGCATGAAAATTCCTCCCAAGTATATAGTGGTTCCCAAGTATTTTGAGAATGAGGCCTCCTTTTTAATATATACTATTTTGGAGAATCCCTACATGTCAGAATTTGGACAAGAAGCAGGTGGTACATCAAACTGGGTATTTGAGGAGAATTAATAACTTTTACAAAGGTGTACGTGGGATTTAGGAAAACAACTCAGGATGGCACCAGTACTAGGGCTAACAAGAGACCAGTGCTTCCGGGACAGTATGAGGAAAGGTCCCACTTAGGGAACACCTGCTCTTGGTGGAAGCAGAAATGAGTTTAGCTTGCTAATTCCTACATCTCCTTTGAAAGCTGGTGATCTGTGCAGAGTCCAGGGTCCCTGTGGTATGCATGCTCCGTGGGTGACCATGCAGTGACTGCTGGCTGCCAGTGTCTTTGTGTAAATGGCAGGTCCTCTCTTGTACCATGAGTCTTTAAGCCATCTTGTTGTCTTCCCCTTTTCTGGTACTGAGCATTGTGACAGCCATTTGGGTCACTTTTCCACATGGGTTAACTTTGACTGCATAACAAACTACTCCAGAACACAGTGCTTGATATAACCAGTATTTATTAATGCTCACAGTTCTTTGGGTCAGCAAGTAACGTCTCTGGTCTGGACCAGCTTCACTAATCCCTGCCTGTCAGCTGAAGCCTTGGTTCTTTGCTGACGCTGGGTGGTATAAGATGGCCCCACACACACAGCTGCAGTTGGCCTAATGTCCACTGATCCTATTTGCATGGCAGGTGTTACTAGATTTCCAAGACAACAGTTTAAACCCCAAGGCACTAGACCATTTTTTAAAAATTGTCTTACTGAGATATAATTCATACACCATAAAATTTACTTTTAAAGTGTAAAATTCAGTGGCTTTTAGGATATTTGCGAAATTGTGTAATTACTGAGATTATATGATGTGGTCAGAACTTCATTGTCTTCTTAATGCTTAAGAAGAGTGCTCATGCAAGGGGAAAGGAGTCAAGTGAGTCAGAGTGCTGGATGGGGCCAGTTTGACTCAGCTATCTATCTCTGTTTCCCCATTCTACTTGCCAAGGAATTTTCCTAACTTTTGCTGTCCTTTCTCACTATCACCCACTGGCTGACAATGAGTACCCCTTAACTGGGATAGATGGAGTAGATAGCCCCTAGCATACTGAAGCAGTGTAATTTTTTAAAACTTAACACTAGTCATGCACTGGAGTGGGACAGCAGTAGAAGGGTATTACAAGTGTAATGTCTCGGGCTTTTGAGAAGCTCAAGAGAAGTAAAGATCATAAAGACAAATTGATTACCTCTTACTGTGTGCCACTGATGCTCAATGAAAGAAAGACAATGTAAGGCTGAGGATGATTAATCATCAATTAAAGGCATAGTATGAAAATCAGAGCCTTCTTGGCAACAAAGAGATTCTCTTCTCTTGCAGAAAGAGCTGAGATCAGGCCCAGGATTAACCAGAAATACAGTGGAACTCCAAAGAAGATGAAATTCTCAACCGCAGAAAGGAAAGTCTGCTGTGCCATGGTCAGAGCCAGGGATGAGAGAAGGGTGAGACCCTGAGGCAGGATGGGGACATCTTGGTTGATGCATTTTAGAACTTTAAAACTCCATGTCCTGAACTTTTGAGTCTTCAGAAGTAGCCTCTCCTTCTTACAAAAGCCAAGACACACCTACTTCCCCTGCATAAAGACAATACATACCTCCTCAGGATCTACCCCCACTTCTACTAATCACCAGACCAGTGACTAAGGTCACATTACAATATAACCCAGCCAGAAGAGTGTTAATCTGACTGAGGGAGGAAAAGACCTTAAAGACCTAGCCAGCATTTACCCACAAGATCTAGGATAGAGCAATCAAGATCCAGGCCTATAGAGACATGGAGATGAGACAGTAGAACATGGAGTTTCTAAGAACAAGAGAGGTGGGCAGTCAGCAAGGGTTTTGTTCTATCTGTGCCTTTAAAAGAAAGCCAAGAGGGATGAGAAGGCAGCCACTCCAATAAAACTTAAAATTTCTCAGTCAGCTGAGATTGCCATAACAAATACCATTGACTGGATGGCTTAACAAAATAGAAATTTATGTCTCAGCTCTGGAGGCTGGGAAATCCAAATTCAAGGTACATATATGGTGGATTTCATTCTGAGGCCTCTTCCCTTGGCTTTTGCAAGGTTGCTATTTCACTTTGCTCACATGACCTTTTCTTTGTGCACACATGGGGAGAGAGAAGGAGCAAGCTTTCTGTCTCTTCTTATAACACCATTAATCCCATCGTGAGGGCCTCACCCTCATGACCTCATCTAATAGTAATCACCTCCCAAAGGCCTCATTTTTAAATACCCTCACTTTGGGGGTTAAGAGTTTAACATTAATTTGGTGAAGACACAAACATTCCGAGCAGGAGGTTGGCACAGCTCTGAGGCCAGAGTGTGAAGGTACACTACTTGCTGCACAAGGTAAAAGCAAATAAATTCTAGTGATCTTTATAAATTAGTATAGAGAAAAAAATACCAGCTAGGTCAGTAGCTGCATACCAGGTGCCAGGAGCTTTACTTGTTTTTTCTAGTAAAGTTATCTGGGACAGCAGCTGTAATTGGAGTCACCATTTGATTAAGTTTACAATAGTTCACAGTCATTCTCCAAGATCCTTCTGACTTTTGAAGAGATAAAACTGGTGAGTTATACATGGGGATGTAATAGTCATCACCCCTATTCCTTTCACGTCTTTAATGGTAACATCAATCTTTGCAATTCTCCTAGGGATGTAGTACTGCTTCTAGTCTAGCATCTTGGAGAAGGTGGAAGTTAGTCCTCAACCATTCCTATTTTAACAGTCCTCACCTCATAGGTCAGAGAGAACATGTGGGTATCCCACTAGTTGCCAAGTATGTCTAATTAAATTATACATTCAAAAACTTGAAAAGTAACCCCAGAGTTGATACTTGGACCAAGAGGGCCCACTGTAAGTCAGACTTCAGCTAAAATTCCATCTATCACCTGACCACCATCAAGTCCCACTCTGATTGGTGGCCACTGTACCATTTTGGGTCCCCAGAGTCAGTATCTAGTAATCTTGGCAAGATCTGGCAATTTCCTTTTCAGAAATGCACAGTCAGTCTAGTAAACAGCTACAGGTGTCTTTGGAGAAGGCTTATAGTAATATTTACAGTGTTTATTTGTGGAAATGATGCAGGGTTTTTCTCAAGGGACTTCCTCCTCAAGGGGCTCTGACTGAATCAGCTTGAAAAGCCATGACTCAGGTCAGATTTTAGTTACCAGACTGAGAATATTTCCTGTTCTATAAATCAAACAATACTATAGTAGACTGTTCGTGTATTTCATTTTTAAGAACACCATAACTAATTGGCCACTCAAAAAACCTCTGTAGGTAAAGGCCTTCTGATAGCCTGTGCATCCTGCTGCCTTTTACAATAGATGTGTCTTTGCATTTAAGTGCTGTCTCTTGACCTCTACTGTTGTGAAATCTCATCTTTATTAAAACCAGGGAGCCCATCCTAATGTCAGCATTCCATACAGTCATAGCTGACCTACAAAAAAAAGCAACCACAGAGCTGTTCAAGGGTGCAGGTGTTCTGATCACTAATGTGTTTCTCAATGCCTTAGTGAAGGGTGTGTCTCCTGGGCCTTCTCCAGGAACGTGGGTAGGAGTAGATATACAGGTTGTACATGATAAATCTGGTCCATAACTATCTCTTTATCCTTTAAATTCCCTTCTCTGTGTCATGTCGGGGCAGCTTTGGCATCCCAGCCTCATTAAATATAGGCAAGCATGGAGTCCAAGTTTCAGTTAACCAACCAAGTATGCTGTTAAAATCACCTCCAAGTGCATGAGGTAGCACATTAAATAT